CCCACATACAGAAGAACTTTTTCCACTCTATTGAGGGTTCCAGTCACCTTATCGTGGACTTCATCAGAATGAGATACCAGGTGTAACTTTGCTTCTCGTCCCTCCCTTCACTAAGCATGAATTCCTTTGAGGTAAAGACTACTTTTAATACATTGCTGTAGCTTCAACATGTATCACTCCCTTGTCCTATTAGCAGATTACATATCTAGTATCATTAGATTCGTGAGTTTTATTTTGTTTTGTACTGGGGGTTGAACCCAGGGCTTTGCATTGAGCTACCTACCCAGCCTTTTTCAACTTTTATTTGGAGACAGTGTCTCATTAAGTCACTAGATTGCCCAGATGGATTCAAACTGTGTGGTCCTCCTGACTGTGCCTCCCAGCGGGGTAGAATTACATCTGTGAGTTAGATTCTTAAAGATACCATTCCAACAGATTCTTTTTATAGTGTCTTAGTTACCATTCTTCTTGGTGAGACAAAATTCTCGAAACCAAGGAGGAAAGGGATTATTTCAGCTCACAGTTCATAGAGATTTTAGTCAATAGCTGGCTCCAAGGCGTGGTGGTAGGGAAGAGAGGGATCACAGAGGAGAATGTTCATGGCAGGCAGAAGGCAGCAAAGCAGTAAAGTAGCAAAGCAGCAGCAGCAGCAACAGCAGCAGAAGCAGCAAGTCTGCCTTTACATTTCATCCAGGCTACCCATCCTTCTGGGTGGTGCCACCCACAGCCAGGGTGGACCTTCCCATTAGCCACGCTCAAAACTGTGCTACACCAATCAATGCACTGATTTAGTAATCACACACCCTTAATCTCAGCATGCGTTAATTACTTTTCTCTCCTTGCTGGCACAAAATACCTGACACCTACAGTTAAAAGGGGAAAGATTTATTTGGCTTGCAGTTCATAGAGGTTTCAGCCCATAACCATCTGACTCCAGGCTGGGTGGCAGAAGCACAGTTTGTGGTAGGAGAAGCAGCAAAATCAAAAAGAGTTTAACAACATCTTTCTGCCCCTTTTATGGGGATTAGGGGAGTGGCAAATCAATTATTCAGGTGTAGTGTTTTGGTAATCATATGACCTTAATCCCTGTATCATACACTTTAGACTCAGGCTCTGCCAAAATGGTCCCACCTCATTTACATGAGGCCGTGAGGGAACATCTAACCACAAGCCATAATACAGCATCATCCAGTTAATCCCAGCATCACACACCCTAGATCCAGACACCTGTGAAAAGCCCCACCTATGACTGCATGAGGCTTGGACGGGATATCTAGATAGAAGTCATAACACATGATAAAGAAATTGGAGTTTAGCATAATCAAATCATTATATGTAATATGATGCAATAGTAACAGTAATAGTTTGCAGTGCTTTATCTCACTAAGCCACCCTTGCCCCGTAGTCCTGCGTACTAGCTAGCACCAGCCCCATTCTACAGATGTGGAGGGACAGACAGACAGGCAGGCAGGCAGTGGGGAGGAGGTTGCAGGACATGAACCAGGTAACATCTCCACAAAGCAGTGGAGACCCATGGAACTGGGACCTGGGTGCTCACACCGTGCTCTCTCTGCTTGTATACATACTTGAGATTTCCCTGTTTGAGCTGCCAGAAGTCCCAAAGGGCAGAGCCCAGGCAGTGGGCATGGGTCCCAGAGCTGTGTCCCCTACAGGCATCTTTGGATCTGACAGCAACACATGCCCTTCCAGCTGGTCTCCTCCCCGTGCCACTCCAAGAGCAGAAGTGATGGTAAATATTTAATTGTGCTTCCATCCTAACTTTCTGCAAGAACTCTCAATATGCTTTATAAATGCAAATGAGTACTCTCTTCCTCCCCAGGGACATGTAAACCTCCTCAAATCACTTTAATTCAGCCCCTACCAGAGTGTAATGCCATCATCAGGAGCTTTCGGTGCCAGAAAAGAAGCCACCCTTAATCATATCGAGTGAATGGTTTACAGTTTTGTGGTCTTCCATCTCCATGGTGGACAGGAGAGAAAGAAATGGATTCTTCTGGCTGCAATTTCTGCCCGATAGACTGCACGAACATTATTTATAAGGAGATTCTGTTGCAGGCATAGAGTAAGGTGATGATGACTATTATGGAGCCTGAGATTGTATTTCTGAAGTTAACAGAATGAACGAGTCCTTGGAAGGTTTGGGACTTGATTTTTATTTTTGATTCTGGATTCTGTTTCCCTTGCTGCGAGCATCCCTCGCTTGCTGACTGTTCCTTCAACAAAACCCCATGGTTGCACGGAAGGTGCCTTATTCTGCGGGCTTTTGTGGCTTCTTGGCTGTATGAGCAAGGGCTGTCATACCTTCCCCAGCCCTAGAGTTGTAGCAGAATCCCTTGGAAGTCCAGATGTGCCAGGTGGGGCTCAGGCTGAGATCTGAGGCTGTCAGCATCAAGGCAGGAAGCTGTGTGACATTACAGAAAGCTCTGCACTTCTCTATGCCTCAGTTCCCGACTCTGCCACATGGATGCTTTGCTCCTACTTCAGACCCACCTGGTAGAGACATTTTAATAATCATGGAGATGAATTTCTACAGAGCCTCATGGATATCTTCTGAGAAGTGAATTATGTAAATCTGGTGTGTCATTATGATCATTACCAGTGCTGTGCAGTGGAGCTGAGGGGAGAGGGTGGTTGCTCCATGCAGGGACCGGCCTCCCCTGTCAGCTGTCAGATGAATGGAGAGAAAACAAACTCAAAGAGCCTGGACCCCTGTTGTGTCCCTTCAGGAATCCCGGGTATGACTCTTAGCCCAACTTGAACCTAGCAGGAAAATGAAACTTTTTCTTTTTACAGTAGCTCTCAGCCCTTTCCAGTTGGAGGCCCCATTTCCCCAGGGAGTCAGAGACACCATCTGGGTTACAGGCACAATGCAGAGCCTCAGGTGGTGGGAGGAGGCACTTGGTGGCCTTCTTGGCTTCTGTCCATGCAGGTGCCCATGGAGGCACCTGAGTCCGACCTGACCCCTGCTTGTAGTCCTTGCACACCCCGCTAGGTGGTTCCCTGCATAAGGCCTGCATGGGCCCCTGGCTCCCTGTGCCCATCATCTGGCGGGGCGTGTACTCTTCCCTCACTGATCAGGGAGCTAAGCATCCATGCAGCTGCATCCTGGTAGGCTCCCCTTGTCCTCCAGGGCGGGCAGCTCCCCGGGGCAGAGTACTTGGTAGTGAGAGCACAGGAAGCCTCTTTCCTCACCCACCTCTTTACTGTCCCTTCTATTTTGCTTCTCTCGGCCTTGCCCAGAGGATGGGCTTCTCCTAAACCTTTTCTTTAAGCCATTATCCTTCTGTTTCCCAGTAGGCCCAGGATTTTGTAACTCTGCCTTCTGTATTCACATCTCTTCCTGAAGCAGAGTGGATACAGGAAGAAGTCAAAACAACACATCATTTATATTTTACCTTTCCCCATGTTTGTTCAGCACCTATGCGCCCAGGATGCATGCTCTGTGCTTTTCCTTTGGTACATACCCCCCGCCAATCCAGGTAAGATCCTTCCTCCAGTGCATGTGGCACCACTGTGTGTATTTTCAAAGATGCCCCTCTACTGGCACAGTTTCACATGCTTGTAGTCCCATCTACTCCGGAGGCTGAGGCAGAAGGATCATGCAAGAGTTTAAGGCCAACCTAGGCAACATGATGTTGTCTTTTAGGAAAACAAAACAAAACAAAACAAAACATGCCTTTCATCTGAACAACTGTATATTCACATTAAAAAAGAAAGTACTTTAATCCCTACCTCCCACTTTATACAAAAAATTCAATTTAAAATGAATTATAACATAGTAGGAGAAAAATTATTGCAAACTTGGGTTAGGTAGAATTCTCAGATATTGCAGTAAAGCCACAAAATAAAAAAATAATATTTGATTTGGTCAAATTTAAAAATTTTTCTTTTTCAAAGATGTTAAGAAAATGAAAAGACAAGCCATGCAGTGGGAAAAAAACATTACTTATAATGTATTTATCTGCCAAGGGACTCCAGAATCTATATATATTTAAAAAAAAAATAAAGCTTGAGAGATTCCTAAATGGCCAAATATACCTATAATAGCCAAGCACTTGCCTCTTTCAAAAAGAGCAAAACAAATGGATGGCTGCATTGCCAGGGAGTGGCTGGGGAGAGCACTGGAACTTCTAAGGGAAAGATGGGTCCCTATAGGACACAGAGGACTGGGACTGTAGCCAGAGAAGTTGTATGTTGACTACACTATGGCGCTTACTAGTAACTGGAACCAAGTCCAACAGAGCCTACAAAACCAGCACACTGAGTCACACCCTCAGGAGAAACTCTTTTACTGTGAAAGCAACCTTATTAAAATGGTAGAAACAATGACCTACCTGATGTGCACATATTAATGTAGGGACACAAGAAGTATAAACAGACTGCAGCTACTCTCACAATTCGGTCCCGGTGAGAGCAGGCTGTGGGGGTTTGGGGCCTGCATTTGGGTTTGAGGCACAGCCTTGTCCAGGCTTCCTGAGTCCTTTGCAGAGCCTTGGGGAAGAGGGTGGGGGGGGGCAAAGGGACCTGTGGGAAAATTGGGTCCTAGGAGAGTGGTCAGGGAGTAGATGGGAAGCTGTATGGGGGTATCAGTATGTATGCCTGAGGGGACAACGGGGATCACGGGAAGGAGGGCTGAACGAAGGAGTTGCATGTGGCTACCAGTTTAACGTGGCTACTGGTGAAATGTGGCATGGCTGTGGCTGGACCCTGGGTGGAGTGATGCAGGAAAGAGGTGGCTCTCAGGGATAGAGTGGGGGGTGGCAGATGATTCCATCCTGAACAGCCCAGTGGGAGTCACCGGGGAGAGAGCATTGGACAGTGTGGAAGACTTGAGCTCTTTAGTGAGCTTAGCATCCTAGGCTGGAAGATATCCAAGGCTTCTTCGAGCCCTGGCATTTATGGTCATGAGTAGCTTTATGAACATAAGGTCTAGCGATCCTTCTTACTCATGAGTTCTTTTCTTTTTGATTTGCAGAAACGTTAATGGACACCAGGACGGCTACTGCAGAGCTGGGCTGGACAGCCAACCCTGCCTCCGGGGTGAGTTTGACACCATCATCCTTCAGTGCCACTGTGCCTCTTACAGAACAGTACCAGAGCAGGGGAACAGGATATAGGTGTGAATGGCTGGGACCCACTGTCCTTCCACAGAGAGGCAGCACCAGGAGTTTCAGACCTGAGCTGTTCTCTGGTGTGGTGTTGTAGAATGTCTCTGTGCAAAGTCCTTCCAGAGAGCTGTCCCTAGGCAACTTGGGCCATGGCCATAGAGGAATGAAGCACTCAGGCTTCATTAGCCCTAGGGCAGATCAGAGATCTGCAGTGCTGCAGAGAGGGTGAGGGCATGAGGGGAAAACTGGAGTTCAGAAGGGCTGAACACTCCTTCACCTGGAGCTGTCTTTAGAGAGACATTCTTTGTTCATTTGTTCATTGTTCATAAACCTAGCCAGTCTTGTGGCTGCAAGGATAGCTCAGTCTTGAGGAGCTCATGTTCTCCTGTGGGAATCAATGTGTCGATGGATCCTGACCTCTGATTGTGCAGTCAGGATGCCATGAGTCTATGCTTAAGATAGACAAGGCAGATTGGAGCCTGGGGACCTCTGTTTGCCCTGCTCAGAGGACACGTGACTGTGCCACTGTACCACTGGGAACCAGCTGCCATTGCAATGGACTCTGTCCACAGTGCTTGGCCTGTGTCACAGGCTCCACAGAGAGAGGCTAAAGAAAAGGACTCCTCCTTTGGGGCTAAGTGGGTCCCTTCACTGATGTACTTGGGGAGCACTTAAATGGGAAGGGAAGGGCTTGGGTCACTCACCCACACATAGCCCACAAATCACTCAATGTTTTATTACCAGAAAGCTAACCATTGTGTCACATGCCAAAACCAGAACATATTTATACCTAAATGCAAAACGCTGCTTTATAATTAAGCACCTTCCATTCAATTTAAGGCCTTTAGGTTTAATCTAAATCAAAGACTACCTGGTGAGCAGAGGGAGAAGGTACCAAATACTTGTGTAAGGTAACAATTGTCAGGGAGGGGACTGAGGTCCCACTGAAGGTCGTTGTGAGGACCTTCTGCGAGACTCCCAGTGACCCCTTCTCAGACTTCCCTTCACGACCCCGAGGCATTGGAGAGCATAGTACTGTGAGGGAATCACAGAAGTGCTCTGTAAATGGCAGCCTTTATGGCTGCATGGCTCTTTCCACAGCCTGCCTCGGTTTTTAGACCCTGCCTGGCCTGCTTCACTCCTGCCCTTCTCCCTGTCACTGTCCACAGCTGTTAGCTCCGTTCTCATCCCCTCTGGGACCTTGCTGGATGTTCTTCTTACCATGACTAGGGTAGGTGCCCTTTTCCTCAAGCCCAAAGCACCCAGAAATGTCTTCTCACAAACAGCCCATCACTCTGCAAGGCAGATGTAATCTCTTGCACTGGCAAGAGGATAACTGAGCTTTATCTTTGTGTCCTTGGTGCCAAACACGAGTTCCATTGTCTGTTACCTTAATAAATGAGTTAGAACCGGATCATTTTTGATACTTCTCTGTCTCTTCAGCCCAGTCTCCTGAATGTAGGAGATACTCAGATTAGGTTCATTGTAGCTCAAACATTTGCTGTACATTCCCTCAACACCTTCATAGCCCATGAAACAGGCAGTTGACTACTTTAACACTGGTCCATCTTCCCTAGGGGAAAGGGAACTTGGTAGAGTTTCTTCTATGGAAAATAATCCAGAGCCGGGTTCTATATGCCTTCAGTATGAGTGGACTGGGCTCATGTGTGTAAACAATATATA